CACACACACACACACACACACACACACACACACACACACACACACACACACTAGGGAGTCCAACAAAGATCACACATTAGCATGTATTAGATATGGATCTCACCATTACCAGTAACCTGCAGCTAGAAATCTAATAGCCTGTGTTTTGATTGGAATCTGTTAGTATTTATCAGACCAGACTGAACACTGAGATTAATGTGTGCACATGTTTCCACATGTTCTACAGTGAATGTAATAAATGTCACAAAAAGTTATAACTACTATAAAGACAACTGCATTTTAATAAAGCTCCAGACGTAAAATGAAATGAACTTTTAGATTTTGACTCTAAACATCTATGCTAACAATGTACTGTGTGGATAAAATGTTTCCTGGTTGCTGGGATTTTGTAAAAATAAGGAAACTTTTTTTATCACTGTCAGCACAATATCCAATGAACCAGTGGACGGATTTTAGCAAAACTTTCAGAGTATATTCACTGATTAAGCATCTACCACTGGTTAACTCTGTGAGTCAATCCCATTCAAGATGGTTGGCACAATAAGTGACTTTAGCAAACACACAATTGGCTGCAACTCAACTGATATTACAGATTATCAACTCAAGTCTGGTGTGGTAGTAGCTGAGATTGATTCTCAACACGTACTCCAAATGCTAACAGATCGAGCAACATCTGTTTTTAGAAGGGGGGTTATAATGTTTAATTTCTTTTTTCATGAAACACAGAGTGTTGCTTTGACTCATTCATAAATGTTTGAGAAATCATTGAATTTCCTGATCTCCTGTAGTCATGTGGAGCTGCTTAAACACTCGGTACAAAGCTCCGCCTATTTTTACAAAGCTCCTCCCTGGAGCTCAGTCTGCAGCTGAGCTCCTGCCTCACAGACCACCCCTCCCCTGAAGCATTGTTGCGAAGATGACAGAAGTGTAAGAAATGGTAGGGGGTTCTTAAAGAGACAGAGACCATGTTTCCATCCAATTTTAATGTGCATTTTGAACAAACTTTTAAAAAGTTGCAAAAAAATAAAAGTAAACAAATGTGCATCAGATATGTTTCCATCAACTGGCTTGGAGTGAATCAACCAGGCTACACAAAGTGTAATTTTGTCAAACGTTAATGTTACATATGGTTGTAGTAAACAGGAAGTAAAGTCGCAAACATGTAGGGACACATCTCGGGACAATGGAGAGAAGCTATCAGGAATGTGTTGCTACTGTCAGGAAAGTTATTATTCTGTCAACTAGTTTTGCCCATTTTACATGCTGTCTGGAGACCAGAAAAAGCAATTCTCTTCACGTTACGGGAATATCCAGGAAGACGCCAACAGCAGGAGAGTCCAGCCGCAGTCACTACAAATATTGGACAGCGGGAACAGCTGATCAAGGTAAATGTTCACTACATCAGAACTTATTTGGCAAATGTGTTTCCCTTTTGTGCATTAACTCTTTTTCGGAAAATCCAAAAACCACCTCAAGTGAGCATAAAAACTTTGTGAAATTGGAAGTTTTTGCGAATTTTGCCATTTTTATCCACCTTCTCTAATACTTTAAAATGTGCATAAAAATGTTGATGGAACAGGACTTATGATGCAAAGACAAATTTAGTTTTGATATTTACAGCATTATCTTAACAACTGAAGGTAATATAGTTACTAGATTGTTGTATAGAATTGAACTATGTGCTTGGAAAATACATATCATCCCGCCTTTAAACTTTGTCATTCACTATTGCAGTAAATTGTGTCTGTTAGCATAATATCTCCTTAACCACTGGATTTTAATGACTCTTTTCATAAAACAATCACTGGGTGCACATTTGATTACATTTTGGAGTCAATCCATTTCAAGAAATATACCAAAGCCAACTAACCTAAGAAACACACCAATGGCTATAAGTCAACCAAATTTATAGATACTGAGCTAAAAGCTGTGTCAGTAGCTGATAGWCTAACTTATAATATTATTTGAGGGCTAATACATCTCACAAGATTTTAATCTAAAACTCCGGCATGAAAGGCAGCAGAGAATAGTGTTTCTTCAAGGCCTTCCAGGCCTTTAAATTCTACCTGCTGTTTATGCCTGCAATCAACTCGACAGTCCAGTGGACATATAAACTGTGGTGAGCAGGGTTATTGTGAGTTTTCGCTGTCATAAAACATGTGAGTCTCTTCAGACTTAACATTAAGAGGCTCTTGGATTATAATCAGTAGCATCAGTGATTTGTGTAGTTTCACAGTCAAGGACGCTGTAATTGAAATTCATTCAGGCTTCCTGCCTCCATATTCACTTTGAAGTTCTTACAGTGTATATCTATTTGTCCTGACATAAAGTAAATAGGAAACTAAAAGCTGATGTAACGCGTTGCCTTCTCTGTAATCAGTCCACTTACAACCAGGACCAACCCAATCAATGCCTGCTTGTTGACCTGCCTGCCGCCCAGATGGAAGGCAGCCTTTTA